ACAAATGTTCCTGCACTGACCAGATGGAGCCCAGACTCTCAGCAGGACACACCAGGCCTTTCATCACATGAGCCAAGGAGCCTCCCAAACCTACCTTCTTTCCCCTTCTTTCCATCTGAGGCTGCCCAAGGCTCAACCACATGACATACCCTTCCCTGTTTTCTAGATTAGCAGCCTCAGATTTACTCATCAAAAAACTAATTGTGACATTAATAAAAACAGCAATATAACCCACATTTTGAGTATTTTCATATGCCAAGCTCTGTAGCAGATATTTTTACCTACATGATTTTATCAAATCTTTAAAGCACCCCTAGAGACGGAGTAAAGCCGACTTCTGCGAGTTTGAGACCAGCCTGGTCTGCCTAGTGAGTTCTAGGCTAGCTAGAGCTGCAGAACGAAACCCTGCATAAAACAGTAATGGTAGGAATTGAGAGAGCGAACGTTGTTTGCTCAAAGTTGTACATCTAAAAACTCAGCCCTTGATATTGCTTGATGAAATTAATATCTAAGCTTTCTGGTAGCTCATAGCGATCACTGGTTTGTGGGGTTTTGTTTTTTCCTTTTAGTATTATTACTGTTGTTACTGTTATTATTATTGCTGTTGTTATTATTATTTACTTTGGTTTTTCCAGGCAGGGTTTCTCTGTAATCCTGGCAGTCCTCAAGCTCGATTTGTAACCCAGGCTGGCCTTGAATTTAGAGATCAGCCTGCCTCTGCCTCCTGAGTGCAGGGATTAAAGGCGTGCGACGCCTTAACTGGTGCTTGTTTTTCATTTTTTTTTTTGCGCCCCCCCCTTTTAAATATCCCTACTAGGAACTGGGAATGTAGCTCAATGTTAGAGTATTCTCTCAGTATTGCACTAGATACAAGTGGGGTATGATGATCTATACAGTGGGCCCAGGCCAGTTAGAACTATATAGTGAAACCCTACCTTGAAGGGAAAAAAGGTAGAAACATAAATAAAGCAGATTACAGCCTAGAGAATTTGCCAAAGATGTCCAGAGCCCCAGCACTGTATAAACCTGGCATGGTGGCGCACATCTCTAATCCCAGCACTCAAGAGGTGAAGGCAGGAGAGTCAGGGATTCGTAGATCACCTTCAGCTACACTGAGTTTGAAGCCAGCTTGGGCAACATGAACTATTGTCTCAAAAAAAAAATAGATGTGGTTTTGATTAACATTTTACATATGTATCTCTCAACACCCTAGGTCTCTGGGGACATCATCAAGCCTTCTTCATCCTTAGAATCCCTGTCCGTGACCTAACACAATGCTTGGCATCCTTCAGCCAATAAATGTTAGTTGAAAGAAAGAGAGAGAAAGAACAGAGGGCAGATGAAGGGGGGGTGGAGGGAGGGCGAGAGAGGCAGTGGATAGGCTGGAGTGAGTAGAGGAGGCCAGGCCTGGAGGCTTCAGAGTGTGCTGCCAAATCTGGAAAGTTTTTTTCTTTTTGGAGGGGGTGGGTGTCAGAGAAAGCAAGGGATGGTGAGCAGGCACAGTAGATGCCCTTGGTGGGGGCTTGGCAAAGTCTGTGTTGAAGCAAAGTCAGTCTTAATGAGAGAGTGTAGACAACTTTGGATTGTGATCAGGAATCCTGGAATCTAGGGCAGGCTGGAGAAGAAAGGTTGGGGGCATAGTGTCCTAGAGAGGGCATGGTGGGGGCAGAGGAGAAAAACTAGCCCCTGAGACATTCTGAGCACATAAAGTCAGGAAGTCACCACCCAGAACACAGTCCTCTTTGATGGATGCCTGTATGTATACAGGCTTCTTCAACTGACTCCTCGCTGGCTCACACCTGAAGCCTCCACAGGGTGACTTCTCATTGTTCAGATCTCTACTCCTGTGACATTACCCCAGAGGCCCTCCTGACTACCCGATGACCCACCCCACGATGCCCTTTCTTTCTCCCTCTACTCTAGTCTTGGCTTTTACTCCTTTTATATTTATAGCTACTGTTGAAACGATGTGGCTGAGTGGTGGTGGCGCAGGCCTTTGATCCCAGCACTCGGGAGGGAGGCAGAGACAGGCAGATATCTGTGAGTTTGAGCCCAGCCTGGTCTATAGAGCAAGTTCCAGAAACCCTGTGGTATTGAAAAACCAAAAAAAAAAAAAAAAAAAAGAAGGAAGAAAAGAAGAAGGAAAAAGGAAATGATGCTTTTTAGAATAGTTGGTTTATTAGTTCTTGTTTTGGTTTGGTTTTTGTTTTGTTTTGTGTAGTAAGAGACTGTTCATTTATTTCCCGGCCATCCAGACCCAAAATAAACACACAAAAACTGTATTAATTACAACACTGTTTGGCCAATGACTTATGCATATTTCTAGCTAACTCTTACATCTTGAATTAACCCATTTCTATTAATCTGTGTCACCACAAAACTGTGACCTATCAGGTAAGGTTCTGGCATTTCGGCATCTGTCTCCTTCGGTAGCTACATGGTGTCTCTTTGACTCTGCCTACTTTCTCTCTATATCTCTGTTCCTATTTCTTGCTTGGCTTAATTCTGCCCTGCCATAGGCCCAAAGCAGCTTCTTTATTAACCAATGGTAATAAAACATATTCACAGCATGCAGAGGGGAATCCCACATCAGTTTTGAAACAGGGTCTCATTATTTAGCCCAGGCTAGCTTGAAACTCACTATGTAGCCCAGGTTGTCCTTGAACTCATAGAGATTCTCTTGCCTCTGCCTCCTGAGTGTTGGAATTAAAGGAGAGCACCACACACAGTGTCTGATTTTTTTAAATTTACATACAGGTGTTTTGCCTGTATATTGTCTATGCTCCAAGTATGTACAGTGCCCAAATAGGCCAGAGAGGGTGTTGAGTTCTTTGGAACTGGAGTTACAGACAATTGTGAGCTATTGTGTTAGTGCTGAGAAATGAATCCCAATCTTCTGGAAGAGCAGCAAATGCTCTTAACTTCTGAGTCATCTCTCCAGCCCCTTTGCTTGATTTTTGAAATAAATCAAGGTTAGCCTTCAATCTATATAACTAAGGATGACCCTTGAAGTCCTTCTGCCCCCCAACCCCCTCTCAAGTCTTCCTTGACCACATATCAAATTTGAAGCCAGCCTGGAATACTCAAGATCCTTTCTAGAAGAAGAAGAAGAAGAAGAAGAAGAAGAAGAAGAAGAAGAAGAAG